GTGCACAGTATATTAAAGGTAAGAATATGTTGTTTCACTTACCCTGTACCTATACAGGTAACTTCGGCCAGACGCGGAAATATATACACATGCATAAGTACGTTTTCTAAAACAAAACTAACGACACACATTATCAGATGAACTTCAGGTAAAAATTTATACTTTTTTTATTTACATATATTCTATGTATTTGCGTGAAACAGAAAAGGTTTTCGTTCCTGGACGCCAGCATGGACAGTGGAAGACAACCAACCCTGGGTACAGTCCTGCATGTTGGGTTGGACAGCCTGGAGTCATCTGCAGAATGAATAAATATATTTATTCCAGTGAGCATTGCATTATTTGTTATAAAAACGAAAATGTATAAACCCTTCACTGGATGTTTGAATGTATTTGGTATAATTATGAAAATGCATATTTAAAATTCTTCAGTACGGCGACTTGTATTAGTCTTCGCACATATTTTGACAGACTGCAACACAATTAAATTTCAGTTAGATTACGCAATACGTTCCATCACACACATGACCCTGTTTTCCTGCGATGACTAAGCCGGAATAAAGACAAGGCCGAACGCGGTCTGGCATAGTTTATGACTGCAGTTGGATATCGCTAAATATACAGGTGGGAGACTGGAGACCTGCAACAGGTGTGATGCAATACAGCACGTTATTTCGGGGTATATACATATAATGGGCTTGCAGACAGCTTAGCCGGCTGACAGTCTGGTGGACACGGCGACTGTGCAATTTCCTGCATATGGTGCTTTTATGGTCCGTGGTGTAATATCTTATTATTATATAGGTAGTATTTTTCCTGTACCACGATTGGTCAAAAGACCGTCACATGTTTGACTACAAAACACGATATTGACTTGAGTTTTCTGATAAATTACGATATTGACTTGGGTTACTAAAAATAGACAAGGAATCCCGTACGAAGGGGTTTCCCCCGCTTTTCAGCCAATCAGATCACTCGGATAGATGGCACAGCGTGTGCATTAAAAGTTTATGTTAAAACCCGTTTCTCTTTCATTATATAATAAAACAATTATAGACTCTTGTAGAGGTCGATATTGGTTTTTATTGACCTGAGAAAAACAATATTGACCTCGCAAGCTCGGTCGATATTGTTTTACTCAGGTCAATAAAAACCGATATCGACCTCTACAAGAGTCTATAATTGTATATTATCGCTTAAAAACACATAATAAAATGGTAATTATTCCATTTCGTGTTTGTGTTTGGATAAGCTGTGAAAGGACACAGAAATGTTTATTCAGTTGTGACAAATATTCAGTTGACATGGAGCTGGGCAAAATCTGCTCATGGAAATGGCATCTTTCGCCAATTGAACCGATCACGTAATGACGATCTCTTCATCGTCAGATATATCGCCATGATCGGTACCCTCATGATTAATTCAGCAACTCAAATATTGAAGAGATTACATATTCATGAGCGAAAAAAAGAGAGTAAAATTGTTTGATATGATTACATACTCAAAATATTGTCTGTAAAACAACTGATAGACGACTTATAAACCGATATATTATGGATATTGTTATTGTGTTTTGCATATATAGTGTTATATTTTGGTAAGGAGGAGCAATTCTTGTACTTCGGAGACTAATCTTCGAAGAGTATTTGAAGATGCTGTGCGTCCTTGTGAACACTGTCATCGGCTTTTCTCTCTTTTAGTTTAAACATATTGTATTTGGGAATACAAGAAATGAGGATCGGTGAACAAGCCACGGGCTTATGCAAACACCTATCCCGTACAACAGAGAGAAGAAAATATAATTTTGGTGACATCATAAAATAATCATTTGAGTGTTGTTGGCAGGGTGTAATCAAAATAGCAATTACAATGTCGTATATTCTCTCCTTTATTTTGGTAGATGCATTGCACATATACGTACATCTGTTACATGTCTCTTTTTTGTTGTTGTGTTATATGTATTTCTATACTAAATGTGTTTATGATGACAATGATATAAAACATTAGGAAATAGATAGTGTAGTCCACTGAATTTTTACTTACCACTTGTTGTATCACTTGATTGAGCCAGCATATTGCGCACCGGGTCAGCCTGTGTCACGTGATCTATTTGCACATGCTTGCTCTCTTGTACGCGAAGAGCTGTCAGTTCAAATGGATATGTTTCAACGCGATGGCACACCCATGTGCGTTCGTGTACCTTAAAAAGTACTTACACGAGGCAAATCTCCATTGAATGAGCTTTCAGAAAATATTAAAATCATATTTCTGTGAAATTGGCACATACATCAAAATTGTCGTCAAAAACTGACTACTTTTGCTTGTGATTCTGAGAGGCGTCTCTCGTAGCGTAACGGATCTGTGAGGACAGTTTGTTTGTCTATGACGAGCAGTGGGAGGAAAGTAGACATATTTCAACGCGATGGCACACTATATGTGCTCGTTAGGTGTACATGGAAAAGTATTTACATGGGGTAAATCTCCATTGAATAAGCTTTCAGAAAATATTAAAATCATATTTCTGTGAAATTGGCACATAGGTCAAAATTGTCGTCAAAAACTGATTACTTTTGCTCGTGATTCTGAGAGGCGTCTCTCGTACGCGTAACGGATCTGTGAGAACAGTTTGTTTGTCTGTGACGAGCAGTGGGAGGAAAGTAGACATGTTTCAACGCGATGGCACACCTATGTGCGTTTGTGTACATGGAAAAGTACTTACACGAGGCAAATCTCCATTGAATGAGCTTTCAGAAAATATTAAAATCATGTTTCTGTGAAATTGGCACATAGGTCAAAATTGTCGTCAAAAACTGACTACTTCTGCTTATACTTAGCTAAATTTCCTTAAAAATGTCTGGGAAATTAAATTTATATTTCAAAGCTCAATGAAGTATGCACTTCTCGATGTCAACGTATGTTCGGGTTTGATTTTTTGTTTTTTTTCATAAATTGTACTTAGAGACATTTGTGTGCTACTGGATGAAATATGTGGTCCATCGACAGGTAGTCAACGCCTACGAGTGACCCTCTCCCAAACAGTCATGCACTTGCTTCTGCAAGGCGTCTCTCGTACGTGTAACGGGTCTGCGAAGGGCGATATGTTTGTCTATGTCTATGACGAGCTGTGGGAGGAAAGTAGACATGTTTCAACGCGATGGCACACCTATAATGCGTTCATGTGCATGAAAAAGTATTTACACGAGGTAAATCTCCATTGAGCGAGCTTTCAGAAAATATTAAAATCAACGTTTCTGTGAAATTGGCACATGGGTGAAAATTGTCGTCAAAAACCGACTAATATAACAGCAAACTGAAAACTTACGCTTGGAGCATTGTTTTACACCAGTAGAAGTGACCACCTCTCTTAGTCCTTTTTCCAATGATTATACTTCCACCAAATAATATAGTCCATTATGAAAAATAATGTTATTAAGTAAATGTGTATTAATTTATTATATCCTCTTTGTTGTAACACAATAAAAATATCCCCATATATAGTGCGTGCGCTTCTGACAGTCCAAGTCACAAGGCGGATGTTTTGACTGAGCAATTTAGTCAGGCATCAGTTACCTCCCTAAATGACTCGCTTCCCCAGTCACTACTACGGCGAGGCGGTTGGCAGTTTTAAGAAAGTAAACATGTTTCAACACAATAACAAGCGGGTGTGCGTTGGTGTGCCTCGAAAGCTGCATATATACTTTGAATCTGCGATGAATGAGCTTTCAGAAAATACTAAATGTAAGTTTCTGAAAAATATGCACATAGGTGAAATTAAGCTGTTCAATATTGTCAAATTTTGCTTAAATTTTGCACATTTTTGTCAAAATTTGACTATCTAATGTTTTCTTTACACGTTTTCATTCATGTCAATCAATAACTTGAACACCTATTAACGACTGTAGCAAATTTTGTTTCATTATTTTCATAAATAACACTTTTAAACACGTTTTTGTGTGACATGCAGAACTTCCCTGTCTGTGATCAGGCAGTCACGCGAATGAGTGACCCCCTCTCAGGTAGTCACTTGTACGCGTAACGGGGGACCGTCTCGCGTACACGTTACGTCCTCTACTGATGATAGGGCTTGACTGGTTAGACAATAACACACGATAGGTGCTGAGTGAACTACTTAGAGGTACTTTCAATTGAAAAACCTTAATGTTTCATGAATCAATCATTAATTCACGGAAATTTGAACCGTGTATCATGATTCAATCTCTAACAATCTTGACCTTATATGGAAGTCAGCCAAACTGCGATCAAGACTTAAGAGTATGTACACGATATATGATCAAATTCCACAGACAAATACTCAAGTTATCTTCTACATGCCGATTTCCTATGCGGGATCTGAAGTTTCCATGGTAACCACTTAATGTCAGGAATTGAAGGTACTCTTACTCATATTATTACATTCTTTGATGTTATTTGAGGGGGACATAAAGCTTCCCTTTGAGGGGGACATAAAGATTCCCCAGGCGTATGCAAGAATCCTACCAGGTATGAAGACTTTGATATCTGCAATAAGCACATGGTCAAGATGGTACTGAGTTGTAATTCAAGCTAACATGAAGCATCCCCACTCACATGATTGGCTGCTATAGTCTTACACAGCGACAGCGACAATGTAATCTCTCATAAACATACTGACCTGTTATCGGTCCCTCCAGTTCACTCCGATATAAACTTTCAGTACCTCTGGTAAATAGTGCCATAAATTCAAATGTGTCCGCCATGTTTAAAATCAGCTCGGTATTCTGTCTGCAACGTTTCTGTGCTGATTGAGTTAGTAGTTCAGAGATGTTGAAATGCAAAAGTTAGCAACGAACAGTAAACAAGACATAAGTCACTTGGCTTTCAGTCAAATCAAGCAGGGCTACCTCAACAAACAGTCCCGAACACATCAGGAAACTGTTACCAGAAACATCACATACTGACTAGGTGATACATGACAATATGACATCCTGACCAGGCGATATAGGAATATATGAAACCCTTACCTTACAAGCCTCACAGATGTAAGCCCCACAGTAGAAGCCGGCAGCTACATCCCCACACACCTGACAGAACAACTCCTTCTTCATGCATGCTCCATCTGCACTATCAACACAATCCAACACTTCACCACCAGCATGTGGACTGACACATGCTTCACTACCATCTGAAGAAGACACTGTGGAACTTGGCGCCTTAGGTTTTAATTTTGGTAAAACCTTGTGTAAACATTTGTTAGTTTGTTTTAATGTCGTTCCAACTGGAAAGTACTTGGTCCTGAATATACTTGACTGTTTGCTGATCTTGTGGCTGACTTCCCCCTCTGTATTTCTGATGTCCATCTGAGAGTCAAAACAAAGTGGTTGTGACAACGGCGACGGAGTGGATGAAGATGCTGGCGATGAACCACAACTTCCTGTGATGGCACTGTTCTCCAAATCTGGCATGCTCCTCATAACTGTATTCAAATCACCCTCATGCAAATTCCGTAAGTCTATCACCTCAAAATCCATGGATTTACTGCTGTGTGTCTGGCTATTGGGTCCTGCAGATGCCAAAGTATCAGCTGATCCCTGGGCAAGTGACCGACAAGAACCATCACTGCTGGGAATAACCTCACCTGGTGAAGGCACCTCACTGGGTTCCCCAAACAGCTTGCGGGAAGGAGAAACTGTCACAGATGTTTGATGTAGCCTGGATGCCCTGGGGTTAGACCGAGAATAGGGCGGCATCACAAACCTTTGTCCCAACTGATCTGGTGTTGATATAGTGGTGTCGCCAGATTGTGCTTGGTGAATTGTATCCATTTCTGATCCTTGTGCGTTGTCATAAGGCAGTTGACCAGAAAAATGGTCAAAGGATTTGGTCATTGTGGTATCACCAGGCACTCGTCCAAAAGGAATGAAAAGTGAATTACACGTAGACTCCCTTTCTTCTTGGAATGCCTTGTGATGATTAGTTTGAGATGGAGGGTACGTAGGCACACTCATAATGGTGGAGGTATGGAGCTTCTGAGGGCTGTGGCTAGTCCTGATCTTAGGCGAATATGTATCAGAAGTCACTGTTGTACAAGGATGAACCACATGATTGGAGGAAGGAATCAAATGGGATGCTGAGACATCTTGGGAGTGAAATAGGTCTTCCATTTCTAGGATTCTTCTTCCACTGCTGCCTGCAGCATCTATGACCTGTGTCATAGGTGAGTTGGATAGAACTACACCACTTGCATCAGGGACGTCAGCCCTGTATAACCTGTACTCACTTGAGGTTGTGCTGGGATGACATTCAGAGGCTACTGCAGTCTGGTGTCCAGAGGTTGCTGGAGGCTGGTGTCCAGAAGTAGTGGAACGTTGGTGTCCAGAAGTGGTGTGCAGGAAACGCCTTTGGTTGTGTTGTGACTGAGCAAACTGTGATACCTTGGACACATGATCGGTTGGAACGCCAGACATGTTTGTTTTGAACACTCCTGTTTCCTGATTATCATGTTTGTAACGTTCTGTCATAATTCTGCATCAGACCTACAAGAAAAGCAAAACAGACAATTAGTTTCATTGCAAATATTTCATATTTTACCGTCTTTTCGTCTTACTAACTGAAGCTTGAGCTGTGCTCAACTGGGTTTGAAAAACAGTCCTTTCCAACTCCAGCTTAAGAAGTCCTAGAACTATTCCTTGATCCTGATGATGATGATGATGATGATGATGACCACAAAAGTCTCTTTGAACTGTTCACAGTTTAAACACTTTCCACAATATCATGATAAAGAAAACACGAATACTGGTGATAACACACAATGGTTTCATAAAGATGCTCATGTATCACTTTTAACCTAAGTCTGGCATTCTGGAATGTCTCCCCAACATGGTTCCAGCAGTACCAGGGCTGGGCAACAAGTGTACAGAATGATGCAATTAGACATCACTTTTACCCTGACTCTCCAGTCTGGGTCTGTCCAGCACTAGCAGGGCCATGTTGTACTTAGCAGCTCTAACCCAACAAGCCACACAATAGTAACATTTGGACATATACATGACATGTTATAACAACGCATGGTGTACAACGAGGAGAGTTCTATGGATATACAACTTCTTTAATATAATATGAGTGACGTTTTGGTGTAGCTACTAACACCGTTATCAAGCAAAATAAGTAGCTACGCCGAAACGTCGCTCATATTATATTAAAGAAGTTGTAATATCCATAGAACTCTCCTCGTTGTTCATCACACCAACTTCTAAATGCCACTCAAACAGGTTAACGCATGGTGTAATATTGAAGAGTTGTGTTCCTTGGCCATCCAGTGTATTATATCTCCATTGCGTTGTCATAACTACAGTGAGTGAGTGAGTATGCTTTTACGACGCTTTTAGCAATATTCCAGCAATATCATGGCACTTCACCAGAAATGGGCTTCACACTTTGTACCCATGTGTGGAATCAAACCTGGGTCTTTGGCGTGAGGAGCCAACAGCTTAACCACTGGGCTACCCCACCTCCCCCATAACTACCTGGAAGATGTGTTACCATCTCCATCTGCTATCAGCTATGGTAACCTCCCACAATCTTTCTCTCACACACAAATGTATGTCTGTTTGCAGCTGGGACAGGTCAAGGATCAAATCCTAGATTCAGACTGATTATATTTCCTGATAATTAGTGTCCACTAGTTTGTCCAATGTCGTAAATGTCTATGACTAGATTTCTTTTTAAGCTTTTCTCTGATAAATATTCTAATATTTCAAGAGTATTGTGGGCACTTTTTCCAGCCCCCTCAAGAAAAACATGACTATTTAAAGCAGGTGTGCTAAATTTAGTATTTCGTGGTTTTTTGCCCAATGCAACAGTGTTCAACAAGATTAAGATTTTTTTCAAGTGTTAATTCCTGTTTTCAGAGTAACAGGAAAGAAAATGGTAGACACAATACATTTATGCCGGCAAAACATTTCACTCCAAGGTTGGGGACAATATTGAATTCTATGCTAAACAACAAACCGACCACACAAAAACAACAAATCTGACAAAAATGATTTAGATGTTTCATGACAACAGTTTTGATCGGCAAATTAGTCAGTTTTCATGAATCTTGTGAACGTGTTTAGTACTACTTACACTGGACTAAATCTTAATGAGCCTAAATTGAAGTATTTGCTGAATGTTAGTCTACTATAAGTGAAGACATTGAACAATGTCTACATTATGAAATGAATCAATGCAATTTATTGAACAATGTAGACATAACTTTGTCTTACTGAAAAATGTGTCTTGGAGATGAGTCCTTGCTAGGATTTATCTAGAAACATCTTTAAACGATGAAGTCATAACTATACTTCTTTAATACCAGTACTTACACTGGTGTCTTTCTCTAAGATATAGTATGACCAGAAATTATTGAGAATTTTAGGAATATGTTTAATTGGATTTCTAGTATAAACAACCTTGACCAGCTATCAAGTGCTTGGTTTCATTCAAGAGAGACAACTCCGTTAATCCTTTTTCATTAGTTTGTGAAGAGTTATCCCCCTTTGTTTACTTTCTAGCAGACGACATTTTCAGTGATCCTCAGTATGGATGATTTAGACTGACTGACTGACTGAGTTTGGTTTTACGCCACTTTTAGCAATATTCATGCAACATCACGGCGGGGGACACCAGAAATGGTGGATGATTTAGAGAAGAGGAAGTTGATTTGAGAGTATTATAGCAAGGACATCAGATCAGCTAAAGTGATTTCAAGTAGAACAGGCATCCCTTTGTCCACTGTTTATTGTGTTTTGAAAAATATTGCAAATGGATATAGCCTTGAGCACCAGGGAGGCGCAGGTAGGCCCAGAAAATTGACTGTGGGTGACAGGAGGTGGCTTGGTATTTTTGTTTCTAAAAACAAACGACGGAGTTTAGAAAACTTAACTCAATTTTTGATTTTCCAGCAGGACAATGACCCAAAACATCGTTCAAAGCATTCACAGGCCTGGTTTCGGACCCAAAATATGACATTATTAGATTGGCCAAGCTATAGCCTTGACCTAAATCCAATAGAAAATGTTTGGGGACTTATGAAGGAAAGTGTCAATAAGAAAAATCTGACAAATATTGCTGAAATGAAAGAAGAGGTGGTCCGATATTGGGACAGCATGGACCACGACTATCTAACTTCTTTGATCAGTAGTATGCCCCGCCGAACTGAAGCCTGCATTGCTGCCCATGGTGACTTGACAAAATACTAACTGTTCACCTGTCTTTGAATCTGGAGTTGTGTTCTGCTAATATTTACATTTAATACGTGAGTACTGAGTGAAAATTTAAAAAAATTATATCAATAATTTCTGGTTGTACTGTATTACTGTCATTGTGAAACTAATATTTTATATCTGTATTTCCTATATTTCTATATGAATCCTATAGGGGTAATAATTAATAATGAACTTTTGTATAAATTATTACTGTGTGATAATATTGTACTGTTGCCAACATGCTATACCAGAGAGGCAGTATGTTGATTGTCCTACCGAGGTGGGTGCTGTTTTCAATACAAGTTCATTACAAGTGCTAGTCTCAGTACAAAAGTTTCAGTGTTTAAATACACAAATCATGTAGATCATTACTGAAACATATCTTAGAAGCTGTCGGAGCCTGATAACATGTTTGTTTTCACTTCACTTTTTGACAAGTCATGATAGTAAAGACTCCAGGAAGTTCCAGTTCATGATAGTAAAGACTACAGGAAGTTTATGTTCATGATAGTAAAGACTACAGTAAGTTCAAGTTCATGATAGTAAAGACTACAGGAAGTTCAAGTTCATGATAGTAAAGACTACAGGAAGTTCACGTTCATGATAGTAAAGACTACAGGAAGTTCAAGTTCATGACAGTAAAGACTTCAGTAAGTTCATGTTCATGATAGTAAAAACTACGGGAAGTTTATGTTCATGATAGTAAAGACTACAGGAAGTTCAAGTTCATGATAGTAAAGACTACAGGAAGTTTATGTTCATGATAGTAAAGACTACAGTAAGTTCAAGTTCATGATAGTAAAGACTCCAGTAAGTTCATGTTCATGATAGTAAAGACTACAGGAAGTTTATGTTCATGATAGTAAAGACTACAGGAAGTTCATGTTCATGATAGTAAAGACTACAGGAAGTTCAAGTTCATGATAGTAAAGACTACAGGAAGTTCATGTTCATGATAGTAAAGACTACAGGAAGTTTATGTTCATGATAGTAAAGACTACAGGAAGTTTATGTTCATGATAGTAAAGACTACAGGAAGTTTATGTTCATGATAGTAAAGACTACAGGAAGTTTATGTTCATGATAGTAAAGACTACAGGAAGTTTATGTTCATGATAGTAAAGACTCCAGGAAGTTCCAGTTCATGATAGTAAAGACTACAGGAAGTTCATGTTCATGATAGTAAAAAGACTACAGGAAGTTCATGTTCATGATAGTAAAGACTACAGTAAGTTCAAGTTCATGATAGTAAAGACTACAGGAAGTTCAAGTTCATGATAGTAAAGACTACAGGAAGTTCAAGTTCATGACAGTAAAGACTTCAGTAAGTTCATGTTCATGATAGTAAAAACTACGGGAAGTTTATGTTCATGATAGTAAAGACTACAGGAAGTTTATGTTCATGATAGTAAAGACTACAGGAAGTTTATGTTCATGATAGTAAAGACTTCAGTAAGTTCATGTTCATGATAGTAAAGACTCCAGTAAGTTCACGTTCATGATAGTAAAGACTACAGGAAGTTTATGTTCATGATAGTAAAGACTACAGGAAGTTCATGTTCATGATAGTAAAAACTACAGGAAGTTCCAGTTCATGATAGTAAAGAAGACTACAGGAAGTTTATGTTCATGATAGTAAAGACTACAGGAAGTTTATGTTCATGATAGTAAAGACTACAGGAAGTTTATGTTCATGATAGTAAAGACTACAGGAAGTTTATGTTCATGATAGTAAAGACTACAGGAAGTTTATGTTCATGATAGTAAAGACTACAGGAAGTTTATGTTCATGATAGTAAAGACTACAGGAAGTTTATGTTCATGATAGTAAAGACAACAGGAAGTTTATGTTCATGATAGTAAAGACTACAGGAAGTTTATGTTCATGATAGTAAAGACTACAGGAAGTTTATGTTCATGATAGTAAAGACAACAGGAAGTTCATGTTCATGATAGTAAAGACTACAGGAAGTTTATGTTCATGATAGTAAAGACAACAGGAAGTTTATGTTCATGATAGTAAAGACTCCAGGAAGTTCATGTTCATGATAGTTGAAAGTTGCATCATTTTATGTTGGATGTGAAATTTGCAAATGCATTTTGTAAATAAATTTTGATAAAAAACAAAGAAACAGAACTACGTTTTTTGAAAAATGACGATAATCAGTCAGTTGTAGTGAACCAATAGTATTTCATAAACAAGTCATTGGTAAATCTTTGAAGGGCATCTAGTAGTCACTGGTAGATCTGGGAGTAAACCCATGTTTAGTTTAGTTTCCCAGACAAAT